TTAAGAAAATTTATAAAAACCAAACCAAACTTACAAGAATTATTAAAGGGAGTCCTTTAGTTAGAGAACCAACAATATCAGACAACAACCAGGACAGCATCAGTCAGATACAAACCTACGTAAAGAACTCTCAATAATACAAAGCTAAAAAACTTAAAACTGGAAAACAGAGACGTCAATCTGTAAATGACAATAATGTCAAAACAATAAAAGGGGGAATAAATGGTGTAGGTATAGAACTCTTAAATAGAGAGGAAGTCAAGGTGATATCAAGTAATAAAAGAACGGTTCAAACTTAGGAAGATAAGGGTAAATTTCAAGGTAACCACAAAGAAATTTAACAAACCTACTCATTAAAATAAAAAAGAAGAAAAACAAAGCCCCAGTAAACACAAAATCTATAATGATGAAAGAAAAGAAAATCCATAAACAAAAGGAACTCTGCACAGGAAAGTAAGAGGAACAAAGAAAATGTCAGCACCACACACACACACAAAAAGCATAACAATATGACAACAATAAACTCATACCTATCAATAATCACACTGAATGTAAATGGCTTAAATGCAGTTGTAAAGAGACAGAGAGTAGTATGGAAGAATGGATTAAAAAGCATGACCCATCAATATACTGTCTACAAGAGATACAGTTTAGACACAAAGACATGGCTATATTAAAAATAAAAAAATGGAAAAAAATACATCAAGCAAATGGTAACCAAAAAAGGGCAGGGGTGTCAAACTAATCTCAGATAATATAGACTTTAAGGCAAAATCAACCACAAAAGACAAGGAAGGACATTATATAACGATTAAAGAGCCAACCCACCAAGAAGACATAACCATAATAAATATCTACACACCCAACGACAGGGCTCCAAAATACATAAAGCAAATTTGAACACACTGAAAAGAGAAATAGACAGTTCCAAAATAATAATAGGAGACTTCAACACACCACTCTCAGTAAAGGACAGAACATATAAAAAGAAACTCAAAAAAGATACAGAAGATCTAAAGGCCAAAATCAACTAACTTGACCTCATAGACATATAGAACATTCAACAGCAGCAAAGTATAAATTCTTTTCCAATGCAGATGCAACATTCTCCAGAATAGACCACATTTTAGACCACAAAGCAACCCTCAAAAAAATCCAAAACATTGAAATAATACAAAGCATTCTCTCTGATCATAATGCCATAAAAGTAGAAATCAATAACAGGAAGAGCAAGGAAAAAAAAAATACACAGAACTGAATAACACCTTGTTTAAAAACAAGTAGGTAATAGAAGAATCAAAGCAGGTATAAAAAAAATTCCTAAAATTAAATAAGAATGAAAACACATCATACCAAAATA